ATAATCATATTATTTAATTAGTATTGATCAAGAATTAATTTATAATTAATTAAGTGATCAAAAGGAACTAATTAAATATGGACTCTTAGATATATATGTGTAGTGGGCCAAGTTCATTTAGGTTGGGCTAAGTCTTCATGAATAGTCCATGGAGCTTTAACCCATGGATCCTAGGAAATGAAAGGTCATGGGTATTAGGGTTTAACCCTAATCCTCCACACTATATAAAGGGTCTTATGGTTCATGAAATTAGGCTAGTGGCTAGTGTGGATACACTAAAGAGGTCAATAACCGATTTCATAAGTGTGAGCCAAGTATCCATATTCTCTAAAGGTTTTCCAAGGTGTTTTGGTGATTTGTGATTCCACTTGAGGCTTCCACACTATTGGGGCTAAGCTCTTAAAGTTCAAGACTTCAAGCTTCATTAAAAGGTATGTATTCTAACTTGTTATATTACCCAAGTATCAAGGATTGTATGCTAGATAGGGTAATACCTTGGAATATTCATATTTGCATGTATAATAGAGAAAACATAGATCCAAGCTATTTAGGGTTGCATGTACACTTAGGAGTGTTAGAATGCTCAAAACCCAACATTTCCTACTAAAGACCATGGGAAAGCCTATGGCAACTGGATGTAAGACCATGTGACGACCAGTTTATAACTTATCTAACATATTTAGATCAAAATTTTCAAGTTTATATCTGATTTGTCAAATATTGTCATCACACAATTTTAATTTTTATACAACTTTATATCACACTAAAAAAAATTTCCTGACAAAAGAATATATATTTCAGACTGACATTCTGAACTTTCTTAACTGGAATTCCGGTTCTGGATAGGAAAAAAAATCAATTCCGGAATTTCAATAACAAGTTAAAATCAGATGAACAATTTCAAAACTTTTAAAAAAATACATTTTTTGCTTAACAAAATCTATCGAAAAGTTGAAGAAATTAGGCATTCTGGATATGTCAAAACATATAATATATATATATATTTTTCTTGCACCAAACACCTCTCAAAAAACTCTCTACCAATGTCCCAAATTGTCTTTTCAAAATGTTTAATTCCACCCGTTCTTTAATAAATGGTCTCATTAAAAACCTTTGTATTGTATCTACTTGGTATTTGCTAGTTTTTAGTTTTGTTAGATTTTAGTAAAAGAAGCATTTCCTTGGAATTCTGAAATTGCCATGGGGGCGTTGAGGGGGGGCAAAGTGGGCAGCTGCACATGGCCCAATTTTTGTTATTATATATTTTTGTTTAAAAATAAAAAATTATAATAAAGATAAGAGACTTTTTTTCTTATTCGTCCTGGGCCTTGGGAATATTTAATTTTTCAGGACCGCCTTGGAAATTGCTCATCTGATTTCAAAGCGTTTGTAGTTGCTTTTCTTTTACTGGCCATGACCAAATCTCTTTAATGTATTCTTTTGTGGTTTTCAGTAGCCCTGTCGAAAATACCCGTTACCCGAATTACCCGTCCGATTTTTTCGGGTATCGGGTAAAATTTTTCGGGTATTCGGGTAACCCGATTTTTTTTCAGGTCGGGTATAGGGTAGGTTTTTTGGGTTTCGGGTATACCCGAATTACCAGAATTATTTTAAAAATTCTTTTTTTTCATAGACCTTGTACTCTGTAGCGGGTATTTCATCACACTTAAACTAACTATCATTATTGTAAAACATGAATCTCTTTTATTATAACAGTATGACACTGACAATATTAAAAGCAATTGTTTATATATCACCATGTTCTTTAAAACTTAATTATTTTCTAGATTATAGTTTTTATTGCAACTAACAAACTGATTATCTTGACGAAACTTCAGAATATGGAAAAACTTATGGCTATAATTATTTTAAACATTTTAAACTTTTAAACTAAGATCTTCAAGTATTTGTTTTTTTAACATCGTAAGCTGTTAAAAGATTACTTGATATCTCAAGTATTATTGAATAAAAAATCTCAATGTTCAAAGTTTGAGTAACTTCGTTTATGCCTCGTTTGTTTATATAAACAAGACTAATAAAGCATGACGTATTTATTTAATTAAATTTATTTTCAGGTGTAATTCCAAAAAAATTATATATTCCGGGTAACACCCGAATTACCCAAACCCGAATTACCCGAAACCCGAAAAAATTACCCGATCAACACCCCTAGTTTTCAGATTCTGTAAGACCAAAATGGAACAAAGCTTCCTTTTTCCAAAATCGAAATTATATATATTTGTAGTAAGAGGAAGCTTCGTGGAAGCTCCCCCAAGTCCCCAAAAACCAATCTTTTTTCTTTGTAAATCAGTAAAAGAGATCATAGCTTAGCAGACAATGAAAAGTATCATATTTCATACCCTCCATCAATTTCTTATTTCAATAAAAGAGTTAGCAGCATGATACAAGTCAAGAAAATGACACGTCATATAATGGAAACCTAGGTGGAAAAGAGAATTCAAACTTAACAATGATTTAATTAGTGGTTATTTGTGTAACTTGGTATGTTTGGTGCAGGGAATAATTCCTGAGGGACTAAGTGAGTAAATTGTGGAATATGAAGGACTGGACGTGAGTGAATCTTTGTGTACAGCTTGAGTGGAGCTTGGAGGGTTGTACCTTGTAGCTATGTGTAGGCAAGGTGCATTAGAGAATGACGTCCAGGTTATACGGATATACGTGTATAATTCCACATAAGACGTATTAGATCTCTTATGTATGTATGCTATATTTACAGAGAATTTGCTCAATTACCTTTTGTCATTCTCATCTTTTCTCAAGAGTTTTCACTCTTCTTCTTTTTTAGTAGTTCTTGTGAGTGTAAACCTACTTGGGTGTGAACCTGACATGAGTAACTGCAACACTCTCTTCTGTTGACAAATGAATGCTTCCTTTGTTGACATTAGAATGGCAGCTTCTTTATTTCATACGGTGAACACAATAAATTGTCATAGTACTTATAGTGGCTAGTTTTAGTATAAGTAGATGTTGTATTCTCAGTTGTAAGACACCACTAAATAGAGAGTGTGAGAGTAATACTTAGAGTGAGTATTAGAGGGTTGTTTTGAAATGGGTGTTTAAAGTGAAAAAAGACAACATGGGAAAAGTGGTGAAGCATAAAGCTCGACTTGTAGCAAAAGGATTTGTACAAAAGGAAGGAGTCGAATTTGATGAAGTTTTTGCACTGGTAGCACGACTTGACACTGTAAGGCTCATCCTTGCCTTAGTAGCTCAACATGGGTGGGTTGTCCACCATCTCGATGTCAAGTCAGCTTTTCTCAATGGAGATCTCAAGGAGGAGGTCTATGTTACCCAACCAGAACGATATGTTGATAAAGCAAACACTCACAAGGTGTTCAAGCTTTATAAAGCTCTTTATGGTCTACGACAAGCTTCTCGAGCTTGGAACATTCATTTGGATAAAAGGAACTCAAAAGACAAAATTCTTATAGTTGGTGTCTATGTTGATGACTTGATCATTACCAGGTCGAACACTAACGACGTTGTTGAATTCAAGGAACAAATGAAGAAAGAATTTGAAATGAGTGATTTCGGATTACTTTCTTACTGCCTTGGAATCGAAGTTTTGCAAAATAAGTGGGGAATATCTTTGGGACAAACGGCTTATGCAAAGAAGATTTTAGAGCAATTTGGGTTGCTAGATTGCAATCCGAAAACATCACCAATGGAACCTAAGTTGAAGGTTATGAAGGATGAAGATGGTAAAAAAGTTGATCCAACTGAATATAGGCGAGTGGTAGGTTGTTTAAGGTACTTGACTCACACTCGACCAGACTTGTCATTTTCGGTTGGAATTTCAAGTCGTTTCATGGAAGAACCGACCACTTTGCACTTCCAAGTTGTGAAACACATCTTACGGTATGTGAAAGGAACCGTTGATTATGGACTCAACTATGGAAGAGGTCGTGAAATTGAAGATTTGGTTGGTTTTACTGATAGTGATCTTGGAGGTGACCCTGTTGATAGCAAGAGCACAAGTGAAATGATTTTCTGTCTAGCAAGTAATGTGATAACTTGGCAATCCCAAAAGCAAAAAAATGTTGCTTTGTCCACATGTGAAGCCGAGTTCATGGCAGCTACAACAGCAGCATGTCAAGCCATTTGGCTTGAAAATCTCGTGAAGGAACTCACAGGACATCATATCATGCCTATCACTCTTTATGTTGATAATAAATCGGCAATCGCATTGATGAAAAATCATGTGTTTCATGGTCGAAGCAAACACATTGACATTCGTTATCACTTCATACGAGAATGTGTTGAACGTGGGCAAATTATAGTGGAATATATCAACTCGAAGGATCAACGGGCGGACATCTTTACAAAGGCTTTAGCATACGTGAAACATGGTGAAATGCGAAACATGAGTGGAGTGACGAATCTCGATCCAAGTTCGGTTTAAGGGGGAGAATGTGAGTGTAAACCTACTTGCGTGTGAACCTGACATGAGTAACTGCAACACCCTCTTCTGTTGACAAATGAATGCTTCCTTTGTTGACATTAGAATGGCAGCTTCTTTATTTCATACGGTGAACACAATAAATCGTCACAGTACTTATAGTGGCCAGCTTTAGTATAAATAGATCTTGTATTCTCAGTTGTAAGACACCACTAAACAGAGAGTATGAGAGTAATACTTAGAGTGAGTATTAGAGGGTTGTTTTCTTCCTTGTAATTGAGCGTGTAAGCTCTTTCTTTTGTTCCAGTTCAGAATAAAAGTTTGTTTCAACCCCAATAGTTCTTATGTTTTAGGGTTTCTTGTAGCCTTTAAACATATTCAGAACATTTTGTGTATATGAGAGCATAATTTGCAGTGAGGATCTCATTGTGATTGTTTCTTTGTAAAAAAGAGTTTATCTTTTTATGCTTTTTTTTCCAATATTACTTCAAATATGAGCTCAAACGAAGGAAAGTATAACCACACAATGGTGTGGACTGGGATCTACATCTCAATTACATCATTGTTTTGAATTCTCCCCATGGTAGCCGACTTGTTCAATGGCTTCCGTGAAGGAGAATTTTGGTTTCCACCCAAGTATTTCTCTCTGAACGCAGCTTCAATCACTACAATAAGTGTCATGAACATGATGAACCTCCCTATGCATTTGTATATGCAGGGCCAAGTAGCCAGGCTAGGAAGCATGGCGACTATGGCGTTCATGTCCACCATGGTGGCTAACATGCTCCTTTCTTTGGGATATATGGACAGCAAGACACTTGTTGCTAATGTCATAGGTGTTACTATTCCAATTATCATCGTAATTATGGATAGTTTTATGGAGCTTAATACTAGTGTTTTTGGCTACGTGAATTTAGCATACACCCTCATGGATATGCTAGTCTTCTTACTAATAATTTTGATTTCTGCTGCTATAGCAATTCCTTCTCTTAAGCTAAATTTAGAAGCCCGGTATCGAGCCACTAGCCAAAGAGTGTCAAGCAATCAACGTCCAGAAGATAGATTCAGTTTCGAGAAGCTGAGAGAATATGTGGAAATGCATCATATCTTGGCAGAAAATTGCGACCCTCAGTTTGCTTTGGCTAGTAGTCCATTATCCTCTACTCCTGGCTTAATTTGTGTACTTGTTTTAGTCATCTACATACGTGTGGCTGTGGAAGTATTGATAACAGATCATGAGAGAATGTCCGGATCTGGTTATAGATGGCACGGGACTACTGGTTAACTGTTACAATACAGTCTATTGGAGTTGTAGTGGGTTCCATTGCTCCGATATGTAGATATTTCATAGCCACTCGTTTGGAAACTTCTGCTGTCTTTAAAGTAGAAGAGTATTGGACTTTGAAGTTGAGCGAGTGGAAGAAATTCGTATCTCCTTTCTATCAAATGGCCGATCAAGAAATGTTGTCTTTAAATTGAAAAACTACATTCTCAGTCTTTGGATTGGATTTCAGAAGGGAATTGTTGTAATATGCAAAATAATAGGCATCATCCCCATCCACGTAGTAGTTCTTTTATGTGTTGCTTATTGTTCGTATTATTTCATGTCATTATAGAAGTTGGAAATCTGTGGTTTGCTCCACCCTTAAGGAGTGATTTCTTATTAGAATACGTGTATGTTACTATGTTGCGATGATTCTTAATGTTATATATGTATCTAGATATTTGACTCTTTGGATGTAGTGGCATGGTACTTGATGAGTCAGTTCCTGCGGTTTTATATAAGAGTTATTGATTTTTCCCGTAAAATTATAGGTTGTATATTAATGGTATATATAGTACACAAAATACAACAGAGCGTAACTAACTAGCCATACAAATAGAGATTTAAAACTTAAATAAAATCTAATCTAATTGTATTGAATTATCTCTAATACCCCCTTCAAGCTGAGAGGAGGAGGTCCAACACGAAGCTTGGCACGAAAAAGCTCAAACGAAGGTCGTGGAAGACTCTTGGTGAAGATATCGGCTAGTTGTAGATGAGTGGGAATGTATCGGGTGATCAGCTTACCAGAAGCAACAAGTTCACAAACAAAGTGATAATCTATGTCAATGTGTTTGGCGCGCTTGTGAGAGATTGGATTTTGACTGAGGAATAAGGCACTCTTATTATCACATAGAAGAGTAGGCACAGCGGTAGGGACAGCATGAAGATCACGAAGCAAGTTGGTAACCCAAACGATTTCAGCAGCTGTATTTGCCATAGCACGATACTCCGATTCACAACTAGAACGAGAAACTGTGGGTTGTTTCTTGGCACTCCAAGAAACCAGATTTCCACCAAGAAAAATGGAGTATCCATAGGTAGATCGTCGGGTTTCAACGCATCTGGCCCAATCAGCATCAGAGTATCCAAGCAATGAAGACGTTTTTGGATGTCGAAAATGCAAACCAAAGGAAATAGTACTCTTGACATATCATAGAATCCGCTTAACAGCTTGAAAATGATCATTAGTAGGAGCATGAAGAAATTGACTAACTTGATTAACTGCATAGGAAAGATCTGGACGAGTGATAGTTAGATATTGTAGCGCACCAACTAATGACTTGTAAAGCGTAGGATCAGGAAATAAATCTCCAGTCGATGTGAGAATCTCAGTTATTGACAAGGGTGTAAACACAGGTTTCACATCAAGTAGCCCAACACGAGTGAGAATATCATGAGCATATTTCGTTTGTGTAAGAAATAAGCCATCATCGATGTAAGAGACTTCAAGGCCAATAAAATCATTTAAAGGGCCAAGATCCTTTGTAGCGAACTCATTGTTGATTTTAGTAATGAACTGATTAATGAGCAGCTGGTCATTACCTGTTAAGATGATATCATCAACATACACAAGTAGATATAACAAGTTGGATCCCATTTTGAAAACAAAGAGAGAGGTGTCAGCTCGACTGCAAACAAAAGCAAGGTTAATTAAAAATGTGCATAACCGTTGAAACCAAGCACGTGGTGCTTGCTTCAAACCATAAAGAGCCTTTTTTAATCGACAAACATGATGGGGAAACCGTTGATCAAGGAAGCCCGGGGTTGTTCCATGAACACCGTATTAGTAAGATGTCCATGCAAGAATGCATTTTTAACATCAAGTTGGTGTAGTGGCTATTTGTGCATCACAACAAGAGATAATACAATGCGAACTGTAGATGCTTTAACGACCGGGCTGAAGGTGTGAGAGTAAACTTGACCTGGAACTTGAGTAAAACCTTGAGCAACCAATCTTGCTTTTAGACGTTCCACGGTACCAGCAGAGTGAAACTTTATCCGAAAAACCCATTTAGAGCCTACTACATTAGAAGAAATAGGACGAGGAACCAGCTCCCAAGTGTCATTAGCTTATAAAGCAGACATTTCTTCTTCCATAGCAAGAAGCCAATGGGGGGTTTTTAGCTGCTGACTTGAAACCTTTAGGCTCTTTTGTAGTGAACAATGCATGATGAAGTCCCTCATGAGCAAGATGAGACAAATCAGCAACATGTTTGGGTTTAAAAATACCAGCCCTAGCTCCTGTAATCATAGGGTGAGTGGAGGTAATAGATTGTTGTGTTGATGGTTGACCCGCTGGTAAAGAAGTTGTTGGCGGTGAGCATGGAGAGGGTGAAGGATCAACCACAGACGATTGAGGTGATGGCAAAAGTAAGGTGGTGCATCTATTTTCGGAAGTGCACAAGTTGGGACAGATTGTACAAGAGCGTGGAGCATGCACTGGTGTAGATGCATTGGACGTCACAGGTGACATGATGATGGAAACAGCAGAATCGATCACAGGTTCATCAAAATTGGTGAATACTAAAGTAGCACAATCTGATGTAGAGGTGGTACCAGAAAAAGGAAAGACCTGTTCATCAAATTGGGCATGTCGAGTTGTGTATATTCGATTTGTAGAAGGATCGAGACATCTATATCCTTTATATTGGGTGCTGTATCCAATAAAAATGCAGGCAATGCTTCTTGGAGCTAGTTTGTGGGCCGAGTAGTGACGCAGATAAGGAAAAACTCGACATCCATAAGCACGAAAAACATCATAATTAGGAGACATGCCAAATAAAACCTCAAATGGGCTTTTATTAGTTAATATTTTAGATGGAAGGCGATTGATAATATATGTTGCTGAAGAGAATGCATCCACCCAAAATGAAGCTGGAACATGAGCATTAAATAACATGGCAAGCCCGGTCTCGGTAATATGGTGATGCTTTCGTTCAGCCCGACCATTTTGTTGAGGCGTATAAGGACAAGAAATCCAATGATGAGAGCCATTGGCTGTAAGAATAGTATTCACATGATGATTAAGGAACTCAGTACCACCATCTGACTGAAATGTTTTGACCTTGCAAGAGAATTGATTTTGCACAAAGGTTAAAAAGGTGGACAAAGTGGTGGAAAAATCTGATTTGGCTTTAAGGGGGTAGAACCATGTAAACCGGGAATAATCATCAATAAAAATGACATAGTACTTATACCCATCTTTGGAGACAATAGGGGCAGGTCCCCATAAGTCACAATGCACCAAATCCAAAACATGTGATGATCGTTTTAAATTTTGATCAAAAGGTAATTTTTTGCTTTTTGAAAGAGCACATGATGAACAAGTAATGGGTTTAGGTAAAATTGAACTAGTAGATAAATATCCAGATTTATTTAACAAAGAAATACGATCAAAAGCTACATGTCCTAGTCTAATATGCCAAAGTTCATAAGAAGCTTTGTTGCATTTATTTCTTAAAGTAGCTAAAAAACTCATCCGTCCTCTCTCAAGCACATATAAGCCTTGATCAACGTTGCCCTTTGCTAGAACTTCTTTGGTTTCCCGATTCTGAATGACAAAGAACTTGTTAGAAAATAGAACATGAACTGGTAAATCATTTGTCAGTTTGCTGATAGAAAGCAAACTTTTGGTGAGATACGGAACAACAAGAACGTCTAAAAGTTTGACATCTTTAGTGACAGAAGAAGTTCCAATATGAGAGATGTGTGAGTAATTACCATTACCAAATACCACTTGTTCCTTTCCTGAATAGGAAGATGAAGAATCAAGATTTGTAGTAGAGTTGGTCATATGTGAAGAAGCACCAGAATCGACAAACCAATCCGGAGTGTTAACATTGCACTGAGCTTGAAAGGCTTGGGCAAGGTTAGCATCAACAGGAAAACCGTGAGTAGCATAAGTAGAGAGATCGGGACAGGAATTGGCATAGTGGCCATTCTTACGACAAAGTTGACAATGTGGGGGGCGTCTGCCTCGACCACGACCACCTGAGGAACCCCCCCTTGAGGAACTGTTCCGTCCTTTAGAAGAAGGATTAGGAGTGCAAGTACATTGAGTAGTAAAAGCAACTGGAGGGGGAGAGTTGTTCATGGAGGCAAGAAAGAGCTCATGACTCTCTGCTTGGCATAACAGATTACGGAAGCAGGGGCGGGGACGTACAACTCTTTAAGCTGTTGAAAACGTCTCAAAAGAAGACCCAAGCCCTCGTAAGAACTAATGGGTCTTATCCATCTCACTAACGGGATGGCCAATAGCGCTTAGTTGATCACAGGTAGCCTTAAACTTGCGACCATACTCAACAACAGTGGAGGAACCTGTAACGCCCGTAGATCAGGGCTAGTCAATTTAGAGACGATAAGCATCAAAAATGACTTTTTGATGGAAGATTATTTAGAAGGATTAATCTTAACCAATTTATAGTATATGTGTCAAGGTTTCCGAAAATATAAAGAACGCCGAAATCCGAGTTATAACGAAGAAGTTATGACCTGTCGAAGTTTCGCGACAGAACCGGGCACGACACAGCGCGACGTAAATAGTGAATTTATGATAGAGCGATATTTGGAGTTAGCGATCTAAACGAAAGTCATAGAATACGTGAAACCGAGAGCGTGTATAAAAAGAACGTCCAAATCTGACTTCGTATGAGGAAGTTATGATTTTTCGAAGTTTCCGCTTAGCAGTGTACAGCCCGGAATTCGAATATTAGATCGAGTGGTTTTTAGCCGACACAATCTAAATGAGAATTGAAGATCTCATCGATAGTAGTGCAACGACGGAAAGACAGACGAAAACGGACGTCAGACGAAGGAGTTATGAGTTTATAACGGAGTTTTCCTGTCCCGGCCTACTAAAAATAATATAAAAAAATATAACAAAAATAAAGTCAAAATTAGCCGACAAAGTCTAAATGAAAGTGTAGATCTTGTTTTTACCTACGCGTCGATATAAAGAA